AAGACTTCCAACAGCAACAGAAGAGGAAGGCACAGGCATACTCCCAGCCAAAGGAGGGGGGGGTCTTTTGAAGAACACAAAGGAAATGTAAAACTGCCTGAAGAAGAGTGAATGGGAGGACCACAGCAGATGGTGCAGCGCAGGTGTGAAGGAGGGAAGGGCAGGAGGAGGCTTCTCCTTCTCCACAAGTGTCAACTCCCTCCCAGGTTGCTCCTCTGCCCGTTATGAAGATATTAAATCACCCAGTTTTCCCCAGGGCCTCGAGAGCAGCTGAGGACTGACTCTCACTCCCTAATCCCTCTGATGCACCACACCCAGACTATTAACAACCTCTTTCCCAAGATGCTCCTCCAGTTCGTTAGACCAGCATCCTCCCTGGCCCGCAGCACAAGAATAGACCACGCTCAGCATCACGTGCCCTTGGCCTTCGGTGGACGGGCCTCAACTGCACACTGTGTTCTGATGGCTTTTCCACTTTCTCAAGTACTAACTATTCCAAAGAAAAATTCATAACGAGAGAAAAGACACAATCACAATAACAAGAAAAAGGGACAAGTTCATTAGGAGGAAAAACAGTGAGAAATGGCAGCGCATGCCCGAAGCCCCAGCAGGGATAGGGAAAAGGGAGTTCCAGGCCGGTCTCAGCCTCACAGCAAAACATAAGCAGCCAAGAAAACTCGGAAAGGGAACACTGAGGATGTGCAACTGGCAGAGAGCACGCAGTAGAAAAACAGTATAGAAAGCCAAATGGAAAAGAAGAGGAACCCGGGAGGACACCACATCTCCGGGGACTCAGCACGACAGGAGGGACATCTGCAGGCCACGGAGGGAAGACGGCTGCGGAAGTTGATTTTATGTACTTCTGGATCAAATTAACCATTTAATTGGTGACCTGAATCCAGCAAGCTGCCATCCATAGTATGGGCATTCACACTGTCATCCGATCCCTGAGCAGATGTAAATAAGCCACAGGCTGAGCAGACTCCATTCAGACCACACCTGTACCAGGGCGCTCCTAGGTCTCCGGTCCACAACACAAGTTCTGGACTAGTCACTCTCCATCCATTTTGTTTTGTTTGCTATAAACACTCATTTATTCATTTTGTTTACTCCGTACCATAGCATATATGTAGAAGTCAGAGAAAAACTTCCGGAAGTCACTTCTCTCCTTCTACTACATGGGGCCAGGGGGACTGAACACAAGTCATCAGGGATGGTGGCACCTTTACCCACTGTGCCATCTCATGGACCCCACCACCCTCTATTCCTACAATAAACACAAACCAGTTCCCTACAAGACACACATCACATACACAAACACACACACACACACACACACACACACACACACACACACACACGGTGGGGGGGGGGGATTCTGTTCCTGGAGAGCCCACCAAAATGCACAGAATGTTCATGAATCAATTTTAGAACCAAACTGAAAGAAGTCAGAATTAAAAGATATGAATTTACAGCCCAGGAAAAAGGCAAACAGAAATGCTTTCAAATACAGACAATCAGCGCCAGCTCCCAGAAAACCACGCATGGCACTGATAATGGGTATGGGATAGTACTTATTCATGGACCGGGGTATAAACTGAGGCAGCCTCCATGGTGAGCCATCTGGAAGAGGAAACACACCACCTCTGACATCATGTGCAGCCTGTACAAATGACCCTACAGATACTATTGTCCCCTCGACAGACAATGCATACAAAGGTTGTAAGGGCAACACCACCTGAATTACAGACAATCTCAATGTCATTAAAGAGAACTGGTTAATAGACTATGATATCTATAAAACCCAATAAGGTGCCGGGAGGTGGTGGCACATGCCTTTAATCCCAGCACTCAGGAGGCAGAGCCAGGTGGATCTCTGTGAGCTCAAGACCAGCCTGGTTTACAGAGTGAGATCCAAGACAGGCATCAAAACTACATGAAGAAACCGTGTCTCCAAAAACCAAAAAAAAAATAAAATAAAATAAATAAATAAATAAACACCCAATAAGGCTATAAAAGAATGAAAGCTTGAGAAAATATATTTACGTGAGTGGATAAAAGAGGAACAAAGAAAAACATAGTATTGCAGTATACCTTCAACTATACAAAGGAGGGTGGGAGCTACAACATGATACTATGCAATCTCTAATATAAATCTATGTCATACATACATGCATGTACGTGGGCATCTCTAACAGTGTGGTCATTTGGCAAAGGGTAGTTAGTGTGGGTGATGTTATGGCTAGAGATAACTAAGAGGGCAAGTAACTTCTCTATTTTTTTCTTTTAAGATAGTCTCTATATTAGATATCAAATTAAATTTTAAAAATACTCAGATATTCTATAGCTCCAGAGTTAGAACGTAGCAGGGCGGTGGTGGCACACTGTCTCTAATTCGAGCACTTGGGAGGCAGAGGCAGGTGGATCTCTGAGTTGAGGCCAGCCTAGTCTACCGAGCGAGTCTCAGAACAGCAAGGGTAACACAGAGAAACCCTTTTTCAAAAAGCAAACAAAAAGATGTAGAACATAAGGGGAACGTCCTGACATGTTTGGTTTTACTCAGAATACATTTTTAAGTGATCATTTTCTTTTCTTTTTTTTTAGTAACAATATATTTATTTAGGATTTTTTTTGACTTGCTTATTATTTATTTTACATCCTGACTGCAGTTTCCACTCCCTCTTCCCCTCCCAGCCCCTCTCCCACTAAGTGACCAGTTTCATAATAAGCTATGATGGTTAAGAGAAAGTATTTATCGTATACTTCAATGCTTTCAAGTCAATAAAAGAGCAGTAATAACAAGAGCCAAAGGGAACCCTAAACTAAGTACATTAAAATAGCATTCATTAAAACGGGCTCCACCTGTGGTACGCTGTCAGTATTTAAATATGAAGGATATTAAGTGACTAACTGCCATCTTCTGGAAGTCGTCAGTGAACACTTCATAAAGGAAGTGAGTCTGGAGCTCGATCCTGAGGAAGCGACAGGTCCTCACGAGTCCTTAGTCAAACTGGTTTTACAGCTGAGGCTCATTTCAGCACCGAGAGTAACCCGAGCCATGCCATCTCTCCTTGAGAGTTTTGATGAAGAGACAAAGCACCCTGAGCCCACAGATGAGTTCACTACAGTTCTGAAGGCCCTTGCACAAGTCTGTAACTTCATCTATTAAAGCCCAGATGCCAGTCTCTCGCACTTACAGGGACTGGTATTGAAGTGCTTAAAAAGGTCCACACACTAGTAAGAGCTAGATGAGATAACTGAAGGACTGTCCACCCCCACATGCAAACCCTAGACTGGCTGCTCAAGCTTTTAAAACATACTTATGTGGGAAGGAGGACTAAACATCATATTCACTTTCGCCAGCAGTTCTAATGGGCTTGACTTAAAGTCATAACCTCCCTCTGCAATTGTATAACTGAAGTCATGTGGCAATGGACTTCAACAAATCCCCAACTACACTCTTAAAATGCATTTCATTCCAATTAAGTTCCATGGGGTTCAGCAGTCAAGAGCACTCGCTGCTCTTTCAGGACAAGTTAGATTCTCAGCGCTCACCTAGGGCAGCTCACAACCACCTGTAACTCCAGATCGCGGAGGGACCTGACTCCTCTGGGGCACCTGTGCTCACATGTGCAAACCCGCACAGGCACACGCATACACATAGTTGAAAACAATACATTTTAAAAAATAAGCTCCACATGTTTACATATTTAACTTCAGGTCAGAACACAGGTCAGACCTGTGTTCATCTTCTCCTTACCACACCCATTCCACAGAAGAGAGAGGGAAAAGAGAAAGGGCGGAGGAAAAGTTAGCCTGCAAAGAGGCGTACTGCTTCATAGGAGGCTGGAGCGCTGCTGGCCATATCTGGGCTCAGAGCTCAACTCCTCACACCTCCTTCCACTCAAGAACAAGCATCTAATACAAATCAAACAATTAGTTCACCAAATACATATTCTTTTATGCTATTTTTCTCAACTGTAAGCTGAAGTCTATGGTCTAATAAAAACCTGTTCATTTCCATCACATGTATGTATTTGCGTGTGCCCACACATGTAGACGTCAGGGGACAAACTGTGGGAGTCTGAGCTCGTGCTATCACGCAGATCCTGGGGATTGGACTCGGCTCCTCAGGCTCAGGCAGGCGCCTTTACCTGCTCAGTATCTTACCTGCCCCCCAAACAAGTATTTAATTAGTCTAGTTCCAAGCAGAAATTAGATGTGCATGGCGGCACCTCACAGTCCCAGCACTCAGAAGAACCATGCCAGGAGGATCCAAAGCAAGACGCCCTCAAAGTAAGAGAGGAGGAGGGAGCCAGGCAGGAAAGGGAAGAAGACCAGCAAGATGTAATAATATAGCTCAGCGGCCATTCTGTTTGTATTTTAGTTTACTACAACTGAAGGGACTCCTGTTTATAATGGAGTTTCGGGAGAATGGCACTCCAAGGCAACCATGTTTCCATGTGCAGCACTTAACATTCAAACTAAAAAGGCCAAGATAAAAGGCCAACTAGCACAGTCACATGACCTGCAAATCCTCCTGACAGGGTCTCACCAAAGTGGAAAGATTTAGAACGTGAATGAACAGGAAATGAGTGACGCTTTCTGTTGCCTCTGGCCAGCAATGCTAGCAGTTACTAAAAGTCCCTCTGTGCGGGCCTCTACCTCACTTGTGGAGGATGCGGTGGGGGGAGGAGAGAGAGAAGAAGGAGGGAGAGGAAAGCTTAGATTACACCTCTACACTTTTCTCAAAAGTACACATTTCATGAGGGCTGGTGGCGCACGCCTTTAATCCCAGCACTCGGGAGGCAGAGATGGGCAGATCTCTGAGCATTCACGGCCAGCCTGGTCTACAGAGTGAGTTCCAGGACAGTCAGGGCTACACAGAGAAACCCTGTCTTGAAACCACTGCCCCCCCACACACACAAAAAGCAGCCCCCTTCAATAACTCTTAAAGGGCAGGAGGACTTTCAGAGCGTGGTCAGCCTCTGAACACAGACCTGGAGGAGAGAAGAAGACCTGGGGGTGGCAGCCATGCTCACCTGCTGCGGCTGGTACCTCTGCTGGGACTGGGGCTGCAGGTACTGCGCCTGGGGCGGGAGGTGCGGGGGCTGCGGCTGCTGGTTGTAGTATGGCTGCTGGCCTTGCTGGCAGTAGCCACTCACACCTTGCTGTCCGTACTGCGGCGGCATCTGTGAGAGAGTCAAAGAGAGCAAATGAGAACGGAAGACACGCAAGTGAATGAACTAAGACGGCTTTCGTTCTGTCACGGGACGGGGACAACTCAATGCAGTGTTTTACATCTCTCTTCATGAGACAAATGGACTTTCTGCTTCTGTCACACACTACGGATGGAGTCAAAAGATAATGCGACATTTATCAGGTATCAAGTTTTGATACAGTCACAAATGTCTAGGGGTAAGGGCTCCCTGATACTGACATTCGAAACACAACCGGCAGACTCGGATGAGTTCACACAGTCCAGGTTAACTCATCCACACACTGTAGGAAGGCTGTGATCGGATACACGGCATGGTGAGCATGCTTCTCAGCCAGATCACCCCAGCAGTACTTCTAACAGACGTGGCCGGTGACATCAGCACTTCCACTGACTAATTTGATAAACGGAAAGTGCACCCCATTACCATCAAACAGAACCCCTTGTTCTGAAATGTGCCCCAAAGGCCCAGGAGTAGGAAGGGGACCTTCTGTGATGCCTGTAGGACAGTGGATGCACTCTCTCCAGGGGAACAGTGGGACTCCAACCCCGTCACACGCATTTCTGTGTGCTGCCCATGCAGTACGCTCTCCTCTCCATCATGCTCCCATCATGGGGTGCGGCCTAAAAAGGATGCCGAGCTGCTGGGCCAGTCAATCATGCCTGTGCCCTCAAATCTGGGAGCCAAAGAAACTGCTTTCCTACTCGAGGGGATTCCCTCAGACTCTGACACAGTAATGAAAGCTAATACATACACAGAAGATGGTAACTATATCAAATAATACCATGCCCAATATGTATTCTTGAAGGAAAGATGCACATCTAATAGAGGGTAGTTTTCTTAGTTGATAGTACAGTCAAAACAAAGAATCTCGTACTGCAAATCTGGACTAAGCCAGTGGAAACCATTCTTCTCGGTCTCTATGGCACCAGAGCCTAAACTCCTAAGTTACTCGCTGCTCAGAGAAAAGTTCTTTCTCAAGCAAAAAATACGACACTGACAGTATTTTCTAGCTTCTTTCAAAGTGATCTCCCCCGCCTGCCCGCGCCGCCCACTTAATAGAGATTTTTCTTTGTGCCCCCAACCCCAACCCAACTGGGAGAGCAGGAAAGAAAAAGAAAAACAAGAATCAGGCAGTGAGGCCCACTCGGCCGCTGCGGATGGTGACATCACCCTGTTAATAATACCACAATATGGTCCATGAGAGAACTCCAAGAACTTCAGGCCCAGGAGCCCACACACTTCAGGAACCAGAGGACCAGATCTGCATTTAAGAGCCAAATTATCTACAAACATACTTAACAAGGAAAAAGAAGTGATAAAGTCATTTTTTAAAACTAAGAAATTGACCTCAAAGACAATGCACTAATTCACATTATACACAATGGAATCAAAGGAAAAGAATGCAAAAGAAGCCAATGTTCCTGCTCCTTTCAACCCAGGCCAACTATTTTTCAAAACCTTCCTGCAATGACTACAGAAAATATGGTCAAAATAGGACACAGGCTTCTCACACACAGAACCTAGGCTAGTACGGCAGGCAAGTTTCCAAAAAAAAAAAAAAAAAAAAAAATAATAGCATTGCAGAAATCTTTGCTTTATTTATTTTACAGTTTGATATTTCACAATGAATCAAGCCAAAAGCTGTCCATAAAGTTCAACTCCACACACTCGAATAGCCCACACAGGGACGACGCACACTGCCTCCAATTCAACACTCACAGGTCTGATTTGACAGCTAATGCAGAACTTCACATGGCATCTCTGTGCAATCGGAAGCAGCAAGAAGAACACTTCTGCCGGCGTTAAGATACCGTAAGCCTCAGTCAACACCGCCAGCAGCTCCCCTAGGAGCTGGGCTCTAATATGCTGACGCCATGGTGAACAGAAACCCGCACACAATATGGAAGTGTTATTTGGGAGAGAGGCCTCTGTCTTCCAAGAAGACACGCAGTAGAAACCTACATACATGACAGCAAGTACGTCCATCGCATCATTTGTCTATCACCCATGTGAGATGAACAATTGGGCTTCTTCATGAATTCACATGAAGCTGGCAGTCAGAAGTATCATAATCTGGACTCTATATAGGTGGTCACATCAAGGCTGCCGCTGCTCCTTGTCTATCAAACTACAAGTTGCGATGGAGTATTAACTACGTCCTCAGTGCTACTCTGAGAACCAGGTTCTCAGTGTGGTAAGTAACTGTCTACTGCTCAACTCTTCAATGGTTAATTGGTTTTGTTTCGGCCAGTTTAGAAGTGGAGCTTTCAAACACTTCCTACATGCTTTTTCGAGACTTCTTAAATGAAATATCATGACTTTAAAAGAGATCACCTCACAAGCCCGGGAGCCCACTGTCTCCTCAGTTTTGGGCCACCAGGTCCTCGGCATCACTCCACATGCCACTTCAGCCTTGTTCGGCCCCAGTGTAAGTCATTATTACCTCTGTGGGGCTGACTAAGGCCTGAGAAGCCCATGCACACTGCTGGAGTGACGAAGGGTGAGATACGTCCACGAGGAACTCACTGCAAAGTCCAGGCTGGCTCCGCGGAGTCTTGGGACTCTCACTTGTTCCTACTGCATTCGGGATGGACTAAGATTTCCAGACTGTACCATGCACATGAGACGGACAGCGCTGTGAGCCAAGGACTAAGAGCTGGGGCAAGAGAACTGCCTCAGGTGTCACCCTGGCCCAGAGCAGGCAAACTGACCATTATGGTCCAGCCTGACCGACTTATTTACGAGGAGGACAGTGACTGGTCCAGCCTTGGACTGTGTATGTGTCTGCTCCCACATAAAGCCATGGCCCTGGAGTAGGACCTCACAGCAGTTACCTGATGAATGAGAGTTCTCAGGGTCAAGGAAGCTGCTATCAATATGTAAAATCTAAACTTATCACATGGAAGGCACCTTTACCAGCAGATCTGGAGCCCAGGTTCACTCCTCCACTGGCAGGATGTCAGCACTAACAGAGGCCTGGAGCAGCACCCCACAGCAGCACCCCACACCCGACTAACTAACCAGGAGTCATTATTGCAACCAAATGGTCTGGGCTTCCAGCCCACGGCTACTTCTACAGACGACCACTGACCTAAGCCAGTGGAAATCTCCAGCAAACATCTGGGACCTAAGGGTTTTTCTTGACTTTTAGAAAGGATCTATTTCACTCATTTCTAGACCCTTCTACACTTGATGCAGAAACACACAAACGAACAGCTTTTCCTTACAAAGCTGAACGCTTCTGAGCATTCTGTTGGAGAGGGAGGAAAGGCTCTCCTGAAGGCCATGCACCTGCCTCAAGTATTCTCTCCAGGAAACTATCCCAATAAAGACACGAGTCTCAGTCCGTGAGTCAGAAGGCACTCTGGTCCCCATTTCACCTCACCCGGCCCTGGCCTTTCTGCTCATATTCCAAAATTAATGAATCACTCAAGTTTCCCTTCTCCTTCCTTATCACTGACCTCATGACCCAGAAAGTCCCCTATACACAAGCAGCTTTGACGCCTTCTGTCGCTCCTGTCAGGTCCTGTCCAATTATCAGGAAGAAGCACACTAACTGACATGAAGTGTAAACAGGAAAAACCAACTGTTAGAGCCTCACAATTGAGTTTTATATTATAGTGAGAGAGGTGGCGTAAAACACACATAACAATGTCAAAACACACATATCAAAACCTCTCAAATCTAAAACACTGTTAAGTCCAAAAAAAAAGCAAGAAAAAATTACAGAGGTATGACACCATTTGCATGTGGTGTGTATACTCACACACACATTACTCTCAGTAGTGTAAATTTTCAAACGCACATATTACTCACAGTGGTGTGAATACACATTACTCACATACAGCAAAGGTACACAAACATCCATTAAGAAGGAAATGTCGGACCCGTTCTGTGCAAGGGGCAGGGGTGGTACTTCAGCCTTTACGAAAGAGTAAGGCAGAGGGTACTTCCACAGCGCTTACCCGGCAGGTATGGGACCCCACCCCACGTTCTAGTCCTACTGGAAAGAGGACAGGACAAAGGCTGGAGGGGAGAATGAAAGGGAGGGAGAGATGGAGGGGGGAGGGGAGAAGGGAGGCAGGGACACAGATGTGGAAAATCTATAATCTTGGTGTACTTACACCAAACGTTTGTTTCCACATGCTTCTGCACTTTTTCTTAGGCTTACATTCCTAATTTTACATTCTAAAATGAAGATCTTGCCTCAAACTACTAGTTCCCTTGTCCACCTAAGAGGAAGGGGAGGTGGAGACAGCTCACAGGCTGGGGACACAGAGGGTCCTAGAGCCCTCCTGAAAGGACCGGCCTGGGGCACGGCCCCTCTGTGACCTTCTCCACTAACATGAGTCCTAGGGGCTGCTAAACTTAGTCCAGCATCTTCCTGTGTCTCCTACATGAGATACTAATCCTTCAAGGTACCTGAGGAAATCAGTTCTAGGGTGAACAGGGTTTGTAAAGTAAGTAGGCTGTAAAAATAAAGCGTATAACATGAGCATATTAGAGGACCCAGAAATCCTTACAAAGCCAGGAGCCTGTCCGCCCCGATCAAGGACCTGACACAGCCACACGACCTAGGCAACCCCCATCCCAGAGCTGCAAACTTCACATGCCTCTCTGACTGGTCTTCAGTGTGTGCAGACTACTCACCCAAAGGCAGAGCTCAGCGAAGAACCTCCCAGAACACCCTGATCCCACAGTGAGCTAATCAAGAGACCAGGCTAACTGTCTCCGAAGCAGCTTTGGAAACATTTGAAAGAGCTGTGACGGCCCAACTCAGTAAGCTTTGGGAAGCTGACACCAGGACCCTGTCCAACTTCCATGAGGCCATCTTGCCTCTGCCCCATCCATTCATACCCACCTTTGCAGGGAGACAACTTGTAAACAGGGGACACTTAAAGACTGTCGCACCTGTGACCACCAGCACATGTAATATGTAAAAAACCTCGGGCTTCTGAACCCTCAACCAG